ACATGTACATGCACATGTACATGCACATGCACATGTACATGCGCTTGTACATGTCATATGTAATATGTAGTATGTAATGTGTAATTTGTAATATGTGATATGTAATCTGTAATATGCCATATGTGGTATGTAAGGAGTATATGATATGTAGATAAGCACAGTATGTGTATATATGTATGTATGTGTATGTATATACTTGGAGGCCCAGGAGACGTAGTAAGTAGGTTGTAAGTAGAGTCATAAGTACCCTAAATGGAGTTATCCCNNGTCCCCTGGGCCTCCAAGTAGCTATGTATAGATATATACCACAACGCCGGCTCCTCCGCTGCTGTGAGCACCAAGCCACACCTTGATAAAGGAATTCGTTAGGCACACTGGTTGAGATGGGGTTTAGGGTTTAGGGTTTAGGGTTTAGGGTGATAGGTTACGAAAATACCATATTCTAACGGGGAAGGTTCTTGCTGAAGCAGTAGCTAGTGAGTCTTGCGTAATTTTATCAGGCACTGTCGCGGCCCCAGCAGAACCTGTTACAAAGCCCTAGCACTGTTGCTAATGTTCAAGTTTCGGACTGTTGCCATCGTCTTCCTAGGCCTCCCCGTTGTCGCTTTTTTATCACTGATAATGCTGCACTATTGACTTCGCTGCTGGTCTTCGGCATGCCCAAAGAGCCCATCAATTCCGTAACCATGGGGTATTGAAGTCTGTAATAAACGATATTGACCTCTGTACTGAACCCTGAGAGGGCTTATCAGCCCCTTGCCGAAATCCTACAGTGTCAAGGACTCTCCGGGTGACCTCTGTTGCAGGTTCAGACTTGAAACCCTAACCCCTCAACCCCTAAACCCTAAACCTGAACCCAAATAAACCCAACAAAAGCCCTGGAGAACCCATCTTTAACCCCTGAACCCTAAACCTGAACCCTAAACCTGAACCCAAATAAACCCTAAGAGGCCATAGCGACCTAAAACCTAAACCTGAAACCACATAAACCGCAATAGGCCCTAGAGAACCCATCTTTCACCCCCAAAGCCCCCAACACCCTAAAGCCCTCGACCCTAAAACCAAAACCTGAAACCCTCAACTCTGTGAGGCTCATGGCTGAGGGCCTTGCTGTTCGGCAGGAGAAGCTTTGTCTCCTGCTTCGCGGCTTTGGGGCTTGGGTTTAGGATTTTGTCTTTGAGGGCCTTTTTGGGTGTCCGCTCCGCAGCTGCAGCATCTCCCAAACCCTTTCGGGCAGGCAAACTGGGGGTTTAGGGTTTAGGGTTTAGAAGTGTGGGCCCCTAATATGGACCCTTAGGCCTTTCTAGGGACCCTTATAAAGGGTACATATAGTAGGGGTATAAGGCTCCCAGGGTTAAGGGCCCATACTAGGGGCCCATGGGTTCAACCTTAGGCTTCGGGGCTTAGGGCCGTTTTGGGGTTTAGGGCTTGAGGGTCTATAGGGTCTTAGGGCTTTAGTGGTGTTTTAAAGGCTTGGAGTTTAGGGCTTTAGGGGTTCAGGGGTTGAAGGGTTCAGGCTTTAGGGCTTCCGGGGTTTGGGTTAAGTAAGGGTTGAAGCTTTGGATTTAGGGCTCAGGATTTAGGGGGTTTAGGGTCGTAAGGTTGACAGCAACTTACAGCCCAAGCCCTGATCCGAGGAAACGAGGAAGCCCTGCAAACTCCCAGCACGAAGCTCAACCCAAACCCAACCCCCCCCCCCACCCCATAGGGCTTAGGGTTTACCCATAGGCCCCATAGTAGTTCCTTTTTGGGGTTCACATTGAGAATCCTATAAAGTAATCCCAAAAAGGAACTACTATGGGGCCTATGGGTAGAGCTTAGGGTTTAGGATACGCTGGACCCCACAGCCCAACCCCAAAAACACTCTACCCCCGAATCCATGGCCTGCTGCGCCGAGCTGCATGGACCGCGCGTCCAAGGAGGAGCTTCCGAGAAGCTCCGTGTGGCCGAGGCTCCTTTCGGGGTTTCGGGCCTAGGGTTTCGGGCTCCTGCAGACAGAGTGCGGGAAAGTCGAAGAAAACCCTAAATCGTAAACCCTACTTAAACCCCTAAACCCTAAACCCAGAGGTTTAATCGTCAATTTCCCTAAACCCTAAACCCTAAACCCTAAACCCTAAACCCTAAACACATCCTAGCCTGATCAAGCCGAAATCCTCAACCCTCCAGGTCCTTTGGGGTCTAGGGTTTACCTTAAGAACCCAAAACCCACTTTTTTGTAGGTTCTTATTACAAACCCTAATATGGGATTTATAGGGACCCTACAAAAAAAGTAGGTTTTGGGGTTCTCAAGGTAGGGCTTATAGGGTTTCGGGTTCAGGGTTTAGGGCTTATAAGACTTATAGGGTTTAGGGGTCGGAACCTACAAAAAGTAGGTTTTGGGTTCTTAAGGTTTAGGGGTCGTTGTCTGACTGGAGAGTGCTTTTCTTCGAGTCTCCCTTCCTTTCCTAGTGTAGGGTTTAGGGGTTTAGGGTTTAGGGTTTAGGGTTTAGGGTTTAGGGGTTTAGGGTTTCGGGTTTAGGGGTCGCTTTTCTTGGAGTTTCCCTTCCTTCCTGCAGCAAGTTCATCCCCCAAATGCCGCACACCACTGCAAAGCCCGAGCTCGTGAACCCTTGCCGTAGAAGCCTCGAGCAAGGAGCAACACTGTTCCATCTCGGGTTGAAGGGTTATAGGATCTCTATGTTCCGTCGCATAGCCTTGGAACATCCCACTCCACTTGTTGCCGCTCTTGCACTGCGTCATGGCTCCCGACATCTCCAGCTCAAAGTTTAAGACTTAGCGCTCAGGGTAACCCTAAACTCCTAAACCCTAAAACCCAGGCTCAGGCGTCATGCTCCGCTCTTTCATGATTCATGGGTTTTAGGGCTTATGGGGATTAGGGCTAGGTTAGGATCCTTTGGAGTGTAGGACTTTCAGCTTTAGTGCTTAGGGCTGTCAGAAATCGGGGTTTTCAGGGTTTGGGGTTCAGTGTTTGGGGTTTGGGTTTAGGTTGCTGGTTTAGCATCCATCACTGAGGGTTGGAGATAAGTTAACGTTGAGGATTCAACCGTGGCTTCTTGCAGCCTTTTGGGGTTTTAACCCTAAACCCTAAACCCTAAACCCTAAACCCTAAACCCTAAACCGCTATACCCTATTAAACTCTACGAAGCCCCGCGAATCCTGATGGAGGCTGCTACCTTTTCCGTGAGGGCGACGAGGCTGCGCCAGCCTTCTAAGCTGTTTGTGCCCGGGCCTCCGGGCTCAGAGGTTCAGGTTTAGGGTTTAGGGTTTAGGGTTTAGGGTTTAGGGTTTAGGGTTTAGGGTTTAGGGTTTAGGGTTTAGGGTTCAGGGTTTCTGTAGTGTCTCCATCGCCTTTTTAGCCAGGGGATGGGAGTTTATAGTACTTCATGGGATTCTGGCGAGAGCTTCCATTATGGTTCAGGGTTTGGGGTCCAAGGTTCGGCTTTCATTTCGAGAGTCTCATACCTCAGGCATAGCAAGGAGCGCTCAGTTTCTTCAAAAGATGTGCGGTGTGGACCCTAAACCCTAAACCCTAAACCCTAAACCCTAAATAGGGTTTGGGGTTAACTTACAAGGCTCTTTCCCATCGTGTGTGCCCAAAGGAGTCGGGGCCACAGTCTGTGGCAGAACGGCGCCGTTCCTTCTGTGCCTGCTCTAAATTTTCGGTGATTTTGGGTGCAGGCTTAAGGTCTTAACCCTAACCCTCAAAGGACTCATTTTTTTAGGGCTTTTGGGCCCAAAGACCCTATTATATGAGGCTTTTGGGCTAATTTGATGCTAAGGTCTTAAGGTTTTTTCAAACAGCTTCGGGTGGCTTCTCGGGGTGGGAGACTTCGAGCTCCACCTTCCTGACGGAATCTTCTCGCTCTGAAAATGTCGGGCGTGCGTCGCCATGGCTCCGTTGCACCCAAAAATTATACAGGGTTTAGGGTTTAGGGTTTAGGGTTTAGGGTTTGGTCGACACACCCTAAACCCTAAACCCTAAAGCCCCAACACCCTTTGAGCCCCAAGCCCTGAACCCTGGGCCCCGAAGATCTTTCGCGCTTAAGAGCTAGGGCCGAAGGTTTAGGGTTTAGGGTTCAGACTTCTGGGGTGCTGAAGAGATTATGGATGTAGCTTTGCAGTTATGCAGGAAAACAGAAGGATCCCTAAACTCTAAAAAGCCCTAAAACCCCAAACCCTAAACCCTGAACCCTCAAACCATAAACCCTAAACCCTAAAACCCTAGAGCCCTAAACCTTAGACCCAAAACCCTAAACCCTAGACCCTAAACCCTAGAACCCTAAACCCTAAAACCCTGGAGCCCTAAACCCTAAACGCTAAACCCTAGACCCCAAACCGTAGAACCCTAAACCCTAGAACCCCGAACCC